GCATTCTCAGCAATAGTTCGTCTCTGTGACATAAATAGGAATTATTATTGTCTGACTGTTCAAAGCGGCGTTACAATCCCTATTTATACGTTGTTGATGTATTCCTCATGGTACGGCTATTGGAGAATTTGTATTGGCAACTCACATTGAAAGCTCCCCGTTAGCTTCCTCACAGCTTGGTACCTATTATTTAAATATCCTATGTATCTTTGAGTTGGATATATACAGCAGATACAATAACCTATTGTCTCCAGTTTCCAGCAGTATATCAACAGACAACAGTATATCAACAGACAAGCTATGTATCTATGAGTTGGGTATACACAACAGATACTGTACAATGTACATAAACCTATCGGTGACCCGCATAAAGGTGATATAAGATATACAGTTTATATCCTACCTGCAGTTTCCAGTAGTATATCAACAGACAAGCTGAGTAGTATATGCGTCTGAAGATTGTGACCCAGCGTTATAACAAAAACACGTAGAATAACATAAATTTGTTATCGGTACTGTGAGGATGTAATCGGACGCTGTGTAGTGTGTGTGTGTGTGTGTGTGTGTGTGTGTGTGTGTGTGTGTGTGTGTGTGTGTGTGTGTGTGTGTGTGTGTGTGTGTGTGTGTGTGTGTGTGTGTGCCAAGTCACGTTCAGCATACAGATATCTATTTCTGATCTTTTCTTTCTGCTATTCAATGTAGAGGGCGGAGGGGGAGGGCGTTCTAAGTTGTGATATCATGTGCGCAATCTTTTCCGTATGAATAAAATATGTTTAACCTAAACCTACCACATGTCGAAATGTCCTGTCCCCAGATTTGCCACGTATAGTGTCAATCAACATTAGAGTTTTCTTCAGGTTTCACAAGCTGACACTATTATTAAAATACAGCCCCTTACCCTGTAATAACTAAATTTCTGAACGCCGGCCTTGGAACCAAACACATTATAACGTTTGACACGCTCGAGCTCACACAATAAAAATATTGTGTTCGTGTCCCTGATGGTGCTCCGTAGATAACAGCTCGCCTGATCGCTCCAGTTCTGTTCAATGCATGCATATGTTCAGGGATGTTACTTAGTAGCCCATTTACCCTGAAGACTGACCGGGTGTGGCTGTGCAGAATAAAACTGTTTTTTCGTGGCTTTCCCACAGTTTATTCATGAAAGTCGTCAGACACATGTCGTCAGACGCTAGGCAGCACACGCACTGCTCTCTTTACGACAGCTACCGTTCATCGTGCTTGTGAATGTTGTGTGTAACATTGACTGTAGCTGTTCAAGTATTACATCAATGCAACACCTGGTGTTTAATACCAGCATGTCTTATCAAATTAATCAATGTGAACGTGAATGACATGACATTCTATTCAGTGCTTGATAAACTTTAGTTAATCATACTGTAGTTCAATGAGAGAAGCTACATATAATGTATGGACTACAAATATACACATTGTCGTTTATTGTTCGTATGAAGTCTGTGTGAAGTAGTTTACAATCAAAGTAAGTCGTTTGAAAGAGAACAGCACATACGTCATAGAGTGAGACCTGGAAATGTTTTCCTGCCTGGGTGCAATGTGCGAGTCACTGATTTGTATCATGTCCACCGCCAGTATATACTCACTCACTGATATCAGTCTTCTAAAGTTTGTCAGTGAGATCATCAATAAGAACGGCTTAAATAATGTGTCAGCTGCATGCTAATGCAGAACTACAGAAGATAGGCACAACAGCATAATGTCTTCTTGTGTTTCAATGTTTGCTGCAGTGTATGAAACAGTGAACACTTATCATCCTGTTTGGAGTTCACTCAGTGCCAACCACCAGTAGAGAGAATAACAGACTGTAAATGGTTTCATGAAGTAATATGGCTGTATGGGAGGGAGCGATTTAATGCCATATTCTCTGACATATAAATCTGGAAATGTTATCGTGTGTCGGTTTTTGAACATTTGTTAACAATCGAGCAAATATTATAGCCCCATTGACCAGAAGAATAAGGAACATTAATCTGACCCATTCTACAGAAAGTGTTAACAAGAAAATGTTACCAGAAACGAGTTGACTAATCAGGGAATATGTCTTACCTTTAACGATTATTTCGGAAACATACCAGGCCAATACAACATAAAAGTAGTTAAACATTTTGCCTTTCGTTTGGATCATTTTGGTGAAGTTGGTTGGTTGGTTTTTGTTTTACGCCGCACGCCGCAATATTCCAGCTGTATGACGGCGGTCTGTCAATAATCGAGTCTAGACCAGACAATGCAGGGTTTGATATCACAATCGGGATCGATGACATGCTTCAACCAAGTCAGGAGCCTGACCACCCGATCCTGTTAGTCGCCTTTTACGATAAACATAGTCGCCTTTTACGGCAAATATTGGTTGTTGAAGACCTATTCTACCCCGGATCTTCACGGGTCTTTTGTTGAAGTAATCTCTGTTAAAGTATCAGCATAACTGTCTCGAAAGCTAAAAGTGTGTTGCACTATGCAAGTTAAATACTCTCTGATATTTGATTGTGTTGTATTTCTAAATAATGTTTAAAATAAACATGGTTTGTATGTACTTGATATAGCCCGACACCAGTTGCCAATATTTAAAATACCACCAACCCACCAACCCCCACCACCACCACCACCACCAAAAAAAACAACAAATATAAAATATAAGAAAATATCCTTATGCTCACATCTTTGAGTATCATTTCATACACAATATGACGCAGGCAAATGTTTTTAACCATGTTTGACTTGAATAGTTTTTGAAGAATAAACACCTGAAAAAATAAAGCATGTATACATGTCAGGATTGCTCTCACGAGCTGCCGCCGCCACTAAAGATACTTAGTTCCGTCCCTTAGGATCCGCTGGTCACAGAATTGTCCCTTAAAGTGCATGTGGGTTTCACCAAAGTAGGTAGCTGAACTGTCACATTTCACCAAACAGACATACACACATGTGATATTATTGCAAAAGTGATCAAAGCAGCGTTGAACTCTCATTTAGATAATGCGTCACCTGTCATATGTATCATGTCGGTGCATTGTGTAGACTCTAAGTGTGAGCTGTATACACATAGGGTAGGAATTTAACTGAGCAAAATGAGGTGCATACAGATTTACAAAGGATTACACTATTACAGTACAGAGTATATTGATTGCAGTAGCATAGATTATGCGATAGTAGTCTGTTGCATTGTAGGGTGCTCGCGAAGCCTGAATGAGTGACTATACACAACGAAGTTAACAGGTTTCCATCCTTGTGATCTAGCCTTGACATCTAACCACAATCTGGTAGACAACATACGATGCATATGCATTGTCATAATGGATCTAGTATTCCCTATTTTATCGTAGTTCGAATATTAACCTCTTGTGGGTAATTTTTTCTCTGAAAAGATGTAGTTATAACTCTAAGTTAAGAATATTTTGCTTTATTGGCTTCAACGATACAAAAACGAATACAATCATGTGTTAGCACCCAACTGAATAGACACTTTATTGGCAAGAATGACAGAGGACATAATGTAAGCAATCATTTCATCTGATTTTCCTTTTAGTCTGAGTACAACTGGTTTGGTAGAGGGAAGCTCGACTTTATAATTATGTTTTCCCCTTTTCTAAATGATATCCTACATCTTCTTTACACAATAATCAGGAAAATGTAATACCATGGGCTAATGGCTAAATTATAATAAATTTTCAGTATTCTCATACATCTTCAACTGTGAGTGTGTGACTACCCCCTGTTCAGTATCGACTGCTGGGCTGAAATGAAACAAAGATGCAACCAAATGAGTATGCAACTAAAAGATGTGATTATCAAACACACCCAAAACTTAATAACTGGTTTACATACCTAAGGGTTTACATCCCATGATACCATATCTTCAAATATATAATTCCAGTTGTGTTTCTGTATTAAAACACATTTACACATAAAGTCGGGAATATGGGATCAGTCATCAAAATGATGAACATATATTTTGGGAAAATGACGTGTATTTTTGTTAACATGATTTGTATCCTGGCATGCCAAAGGGACATAATCCAATTAGTTCGTTGGCTGGTTGTTTAACGCCGCACTCAGCAATATTCCAGCTATATGACGGCGGTCTGTAAAATAATCAAGTCTGGACCAGACAATCCAGTGATTGCCATCATGAGCTTCGATCCACACAATTGGGATTGATGACATGTATCAACCAAGTCAGCGAGCCTGACGACCCGATCCCGTTAGTCGCCTTTTACAACAAGCATAGTCGCCTTTTACGGCAAGTATGGGTTGCTGACGACCTATTCTACCCCGTAATCTTCACGGGTCCATAATCCAATTAATTGTTGCGATGTTTACAACTTGGCCATTGTAAGGGATGATTTCAAAATTAAACGGTTAACCAAGAAATCGGAATCAGTAAATAGACACAAAATGAATAATAAATGAATAATTAACAAATTATATTGACACACACAGTTTTAAGTTTCCAGTCATAAATGGCAGTGCAATGGGTCAAATATGTGTCAGAAGCAATAAGTAACAAGCCCATTAATAAATGTCAATGCTCTCGGGAATGTCCAGAATTTGTCACTAAATGTCTTGAAAGACTTACGTGCCTCGTTCTTAAATCTTGAAACAGTGATGGAAGCTGGTAGGAAGTCGGTGTTTTCAGATAGATAGCCCGCCCGGACAAGCGCTACAGACGCAGTCGTGGTTGTAGAAGACCTTGAATAGCCCGCGTCTCATTCTTATTTTGGCACAGCCAACCTTCTAGAAACTGTAAACCTCTCGAATGGCTGTTTGTCCACTGCTACAATGGAGTGATTAGATGTTTTACGGTATTTGTAACACGTCATCATAACACTCAATCATATTGTCTTTATGAATTAATGAATTACTGACTACATTCTAAGCATAGGTTTATCATTATATTTCACAGCTGCTTGGTAGATACAGATATGAATGTCTTTTCTGTATTATATTTCCATACGAAACCCTACTGTGAGTAAAAATCAAGTGTCTGGGTGCCTGCTTCAGCTTGTGCTCTTATTCCAGTACATGCAGCTCCACTGTCGGGACTCGGGAACTTCTGAACGGATATAAAGACAAGTTTAGAAACAAGTAACCACCTGAATATCAATGTTCTTAAGTAATGATGCAATTTAATCTTCCAAAAGCACTACTATTGTTTACGTTTGAATGAATGTATTTGTAACGAAAATATATCACAAATATATATAACAAAATCTTGATGATCTACATGTTTATGAATTCATTATGGAGGGATCATTTTCATCTGATATCTAGACTTCCACCTTACATATTTTGTCATTCTTCAGTGACACTGTTTTGTTGCCTTTATTTAGCCAGACAGAGGACAAAAGGGGATTTTACCCCTCATACGTTACTATACAAAACGTAAATATTGAATGGAATATGAAACAACTTGGTTTTAGTACCACATATTCATGTCCATAGTGTTCCTATTTTATTTTACAAGTGGACACATATAAATAATAAACTAGTAATTTCTGAAGCGGAAAAATTAGGTTGTCTTTATATATAGTCACAAGTATCGCAAGCAGCCGATGTGACCAACATTGCTATAGGCTGTATTTGTGGTATCATAGTTGCTGTTTCTGTGCAGTCATATTGGGTGATCATATCCTCGGGTCAAACCTATCATTTTCACAACCATCACCCTGCCCATGTCCTGTATGTAGTGTAGTCTGTTCATGTTCTTGAAGTAAACTGGACATGCTAAACCAGGAACGTCTGCATGTGTTCTTCATGTCCAAGGTTGCCATGATAAACATTATGACGATGCTTCACATTGCCGAGAGCGGTAAAGTGATGGTGTCTCAGCAGAACCTAGCAATCTAATTTACATCAATCAGATTAAAATATCAGCACGACATCGTGATATGATGACTAAAAATAGGATACATACAAATAACAATCAAGCAAATATGTAATCAAGCAAGCAATGCAACGAACTACTCAATTAAGTTAGAAAGCAGCACAGCAGCCAGTCAACCAACCAAGCAACCATCCAAACAATCAACCGTCCAACCAACCGACAAAACATTGAATTATAAAGAAAGAAACAAAATGAGGACGAAACGATTTAAAAAATAAGACAATACACAGAGGATCTCACACGGAGGAGATGTTTACATTTGTCAACGACTGGTGGTATCCTAGAATATACATACTTACTACTAATATTACATCTAAAAACATTATTATTCCTAATGGTGTACAATTACGATTACAAGTGAAATATGTTACTTTAATTTGTAAATTAATAGCATTAAATTTTCCAAATATGCTTATACCTGAGCTGAGAAGATTATCTTGCACTCACCTTCAGACACTATGCTGACTGTATGAGACAGTCCCTTCCCTACGCCATTGTCCACAGTTAGCCGATAGTCCCCGAAGTCCTGCTGTTGGAGGTTAGTAAGGTGTAGTCTGGCAGTGACCGAGATGTCGGAGACAGGGCTGGAGGAACCAGTGAGGTCCTGACTGGTGCTTGTAGTTCTACTCCAGGTGAATGTAGGAAGGGGGTAGGCCAGGACTGACACAGACACATTCACGTTATCACCCAGTCTAGAGGTGTACTTAAGTTGGTGGAGCACTGTCTCATCAAGTCGGGGAGAACCTGACAAAATGAAACGAATTGTAAATGTAGATATAAATGTGCGTGAGCTCAGTTGGCTAAATCATAATTTTCAAAACCTTAACACACAACAGTCCAACTGCATGAGACCCATCTGTGTCTTTTACAAATGTAGAACATCCAAGATCTGATATATCTGAGTTCTGTTATGCATCACAGAGAAAAAAGAAGCACACATGTATGTCATGGTGACCAACATCAAGCATAAGAATTTTACATTAACTATTTATGTTCCTATTAAAAGAAGGAAAAGGTTGTATTTAGTTGCTACAGAAAATAACATTTCCAGGGACTATTGCACCTGTTTGCAGGTTACCAGGTTTGTGTCATCTCCGAAACGGAGAACCTGCAATATGATGTTGCACATATTGCCACCTGAGAATATGAGTGTATTAAGTTTACTAAAATTGAGTTTCGAGGTAGATACGTTTAATAATCTAACATTTGTGATATATTTCCTATTAATCTATTTTCTATTTCTTTGTGAAACATGGGAATAAGGCATTTCGACAAGGAGTAAATGTAGGCATCTCCGTGGGCAAGAATTGTTCTCCCCTTCTTGGTGATCTGTTTCTTTTTGCATATGAATCGGACTTTCTGCTTATTTTGGAAAGTTAAAACTCCGGCCAAGTAGTTTAACTTAAACTTCAGGTTTATCTTTAATCTGACATTGTTCAATAACGGTCAAATAGCCAGTTCATTTCCACTGATTTACCCACCTGGACTTGAAATACAAAATACCAGTGACACCGACTCATCTGTTTCATATTTAGATGTAAGCATCAAGCTTCTGAGTGACAAAACATCTCCAATAGACTGCATAACAAGACGGATGAGTTCACATTTCCCTTTATGTCACACGACTCTCGTTCAAAAGTTGTTTGATCAGGGTCACAACTTTTAGGGCCTCAGTAAAGTTTTAAAAATAGTTTTATGGTAGACACGTGGAGGACATTTTCAAATTTGTGGCACAAGTGACCAGAATGATTTTGGATGCAATTCACTATTGTTTTGCTTGTACCATACGATCACGTGTCTTGTTGCGTTTTTTGAAGGTGCACAGTTTTCTTGCCTTTGCATGGGATTGTGACGGGTGCCAACCATGGGGCAGAATACGTTCACCTTTTCGCGAACACCTGGTATCATCACTATTTGACAGTTATTAATAAACACATGATTATGATGTAGTCGGAATCATACAATGGATTATGCTTTTGGTATATACTTCTTATGTCGTAAGATTCGACTAAAGGGATCGGGTCGTCAGGCTCGCTGACTTGGTTGATGCATGTCACCGTATCCTAAATGCGTAGATCGATGCTCATACCATCAATCACTGGATTGTCTGTTCAAGAGTCGATTATTTACAAACCGCCGTCCTATAGCTGGAATATTGCTGAATGCGGCCTTTCAACAACAAACCAACAAACACCTTTTATGATTAAGGGAATGTGATTTGTTATTGTTATTTATGTACTTTCATGACATGGATTTGTCAGAACCATAGGTAAGCTCTCGGCTTTGACAAGGAGGGAAAATGTGCAAGACCTGTTTCAATTGGGGCTATCTCTCTCTCTCTTAACTCGTGATAACTCTCTCTTAAATAAGAAACACTACGAGACGATCCTAATCATGACACAATCAGGAAACAGATGTTAGTTCATATGGAAAGAGTTCAGTAGTCCATCAACAGAGAGAATGATTATTTCATCCCATCAGACTAGCATGACCACATCATCTTGAATTACGTACATAGTATTGCTATTGCTACAACACATAAACAAGACTTTGTGATCAAAACCATCTTATTAAAACCTTCTTGCTATATCTGTACCAACAGTCACATGGAAAGAATAACCATAAGTTAAAATCCAGATCACAATCATATTGTCTTTGATACCACAGATTCAAAGTACCTTTTAAAGGCATTAGGGGATTTTAAAATACATCCTGCTGGCAATATTTGACAAAATGGCCGAATCTCAATTTCATATAGCTCAAATGTGTTAGGATAGATTGCATTTACTACATACGAGATATCTACAATCCCGTTGCATATATCTTACATTCTTTTTAATATGCCTTCTATAATTGACTTGGCTAAAATTCCTTTTTATTGGAGAACGTTTTACCTGTCTGATATTCTCTACATGCATGCATACTTCCATTTTGAGTTGTACTGTCTTGAGACATCTCTAACTGAATTTCAGATATTTAATAATTGAAAGCGGCTTAGCATGCTTGAGTTAGTGAACCAATCACAACTGAAAGAGTATTATATTTTCGTAGAACTTACTCATACTCATAATACTTAATATTAGGTTCCATGATCATTTGAAAATATTGCAAATAGGCAATAATTTGTGGCAATACTTTCAAAAGATAAATAGGATTTTACTAATTACCAATTAATAACAAAATAACGGACGTTTTTCGAGAAAGGGTATGGTATGATGATGGTCGCATTCATATTTTTACAATCATCTTCTGCCTGTTTACAGATAATCTGGTGTCAAATATGAAATACTAACATTTGATCATCAACTCCATTCTCTGGTTGACAGGTGCCCCGATGTTGTTACTGGCAGTACAGGAGTAGTTCCCTCTTTGTCTACAGTCTGCTGACTCCAGTCTATATTCTGCTGTCAGGGAGTTATCTGCCCTTGTCAATTCCTCAGTTCCATTCAGTAACCTGATGACTGACCTTGGGTTACTTTCAATCTGGCATCTGAAGGTCACTGGATTAGACTTATTAACTGTCACTGAACCACTGCGAGAGTTGGCGGTAAAAATACTTACAGTGGCTGGATCTGAAATTACATCAATTTTATAGAAATTAAAAACTGATGCACATCTGGAAATTTATGTGTAATGTGAACTTAGTTACTTTCTGGGGTACAGCTAACTGTGTTTTTTTAAAATTTGCTTCAACAAATATTTACAATTGCCCATCGTATATATTGTCGAATAACGTAACAGGAGATTTTGGCTGAAATATACCACTGTAGCAATTACGTGAATATGTATTCTTGTGATTTCATGTTCTGATTAGTATTGTTAACACTGCAGGAACATACATTTACAATATATCATTTTTAGTGACGTTCACCTGGATGTGTTTGAGGTTTTAATGCCGAACATCATTGACAGTAGAGATTGTTTGTACAAAACTACTATGCAGATATGTTTAGACAAAGTTTAACATTAAAGTTGGAAATTGTATCATAAAGAGTACTTCAGCTGTGTGGATTGAAGATAATGGGAGTGTAAAAGTTGTGTAAGAAAAATGTACAATAAAGCATGTTTCAGAAATGTGTTTTCTTGTGCACGTCAGTTAGTTCCATGTTATCATTACACAGCAGCACCATACACCAATAACATTAAAAACTCTTTGAAATACTTACATATAGAACGTCAGCACCAATAAAACAATATCATGAACTTTTGTTCCGAATCCCTTTTGATTATGGCAAGGTTTGAAACAAGTACTAACTTTTCTTCAAATAAAACATTCCTCAAATACTACAAAGGATACACACTACTTGATGGTTGCAATTTTGTGATGCCAGATGACTTGTGTGTTGCGTGTAGTGGCACGCTGTTTGTAGTAATATCCAGAGTGTGATTGTGTGAGTGGCGGGTGTTACAGGGCAGACCAGGCCATTATTTCACTTTTAGAGATTTCAGTGACCCATTGATATAATTTCAATCACAATGCTTCCTCGTATGCCCCCATGGAATCTGTTTCGGCAGATTATCCGAGACTGGTTATTCTCTGTCGTTCAAGTTTTATGATTACGTACACAGAACATCACAGCCACCTCCACAGACTCAGATCTCACAACAGATGTCTCCCCCCCAAAAACACCAAGGACTGAGGGTGTTGTAAGCTGTACACACACATGTCAAGTATTCTAACAATGATACTTACACTGTACATCCACTGTCATCTCCCTAGACTCAGAGCGTGGTAAAGCTGTCCCCACACAAGGACTGAAGGTGTTGGTAGCTGTACACACATATGTCCAGTATTCTAACAATGATACTTACACTGTAAATCCACTGTAACCTCCACAGAGTCAGATCTCACTACAGATGTTCCCCCACAAGGACTGAGGGTGTTGGTAGCTGTACACACATATGTCCAGTATTCTAACAATGATACTTACACTGTACATCCACTGTCACCTCCACAGAGTCAGATCTCACTACAGATGTTCCCCCACAAGGACTGAGGGTGTTGGTAGCTGTACACACATATGTCCAGTATTCTAACAATGATACTTACACTGTACATCCACTGTCACCTCCACAGAGTCAGATCTCACTACAGATGTTCCCCCACAAGGACTGAGGGTGTTGGTAGCTGTACACACATACGTCCAGTATTCTAACAATGATACTTACACTGTACATCCACTGTCACCTCCACAGAGTCAGATCTCACTACAGATGTCCCCACACAAGGACTGAGGGTGTTGGTAGCTGTACACACATATGTCCAGTATTCTAACAATGATACTTACACTGTACATCCACTGTCACCTCCACAGAGTCAGATCTCACTACAGATGTCCCCACACAAGGACTGAGGGTGTTGGTAGCTGTACACACATACGTCCAGTATTCTAACAATGATACTTACACTGTACATCCACTGTCACCTCCACAGAGTCAGATCTCACTACAGATGTCCCCACACAAGGACTGAGGGTGTTGGTAGCTGTACACACATACGTCCAGTATTCTAACAATGATACTTACACTGTACATCCACTGTCACCTCCACAGAGTCAGATCTCACTACAGATGTCCCCACACAAGGACTGAGGGTGTTGGTAGCTGTACACACATACGTCCAGTATTCTAACAATGATACTTACACTGTACATCCACTGTCACCTCCACAGAGTCAGAGCGGGGTAAAGCTGTCCCCACACAAGGACTGAGGGTGTTGGTAGCTGTACACACACATGTCCAGTATTCTATCAATGATACTTACACAGTAAATCCACTGTCCACTAGGCTGTATACTTACACTGACCGTAACACTGTCAGCAGTGTAGAATATATACTTACACTGAACATCAACACTGACTGTAACACTGTCACATGTGTAGACTATATACTTACACTGAACATCAACACTGACTGTAACACTGTCAGCAGTGTAGACTATATACTTACACTGAACATCAACACTGACTGTAACACTCTCACCAGTGTAGACTATATACTTACACTGAACATCAACACTGTCTGTAACACTGTCACCAGTGTAGACTATATACTTACACTGAACATCAACACTGACTGTAACACTGTCACCAGTGTGGACTACATACTTACACTGAACATAAACACTGACTATAACACTGTCACCAGTGTAGACTATATACTTACACTATACATCAACACTGACTGTAACACTGTCACCAGTGTAGACTTTATACTTACACTGAACTTTAACACTGACTGTAACACTCTCACCAGTGTACACTATATACTTACACTGAACATTAACACTGACTGTAACACTGTCACCAGTGTAGACTATATACTTACACTATACATCAACACTGACTGTAACACTGTCACCAGTGTAGACTTTATACTTACACTGAACATCAACACTGACTGTAACACTGTCACCAGTGTAGACTATATACTTACACTGAACATCAACACTGACTGTAACACTGTCACCACTCCCGTGTGTATTAGAAGGCTGACATATGTAGGAGCCTGTCTTAGATCTGTCAGCTTGTCCCTGGAGCATGGCTCCATTGCTGAAGGCTGTTCCATTGTGTAACCACCTGTAGCTACATCCGGGTCTACAGAGGGCGGAGCATGTGATGGATGGAAGAGCCTGGTGTTCTGTCACAGTGTAGGAGGAGGTGGAGGGGGTCAGGGAGATCTGGTATGGCCCGTCTGAAATACATGGCACCGTGACACAGATACCGTAATACAAGATATAGTTATACCTCCAATAACACACATGGAAAACAATGATTAGTTGATGATATACAGAAAAGCACTTTGAAAACTATATGACAAAGCTACTTGTATGTAATAGCAGTATGCACATGAACGAGCGATTGCTTAAATGTTTTACGGCTTGGTGAGGCGATCAAAATATAATTGTTCAGCATGTTATATGCATACTTTATACATTATTTGTTGATGGTTTTACGTTTCTTGTCTGTTGACGACGACAGGCTGTGAGACAAAAAGAAGCAGCATTGGGAAACTTGACTACGGTCTGCTGGTGTATGTAATTACAAATAAGCTAATTAAAATTTGAAACACAGGGGATGCTAGCAAATGGTCAAGCTCCCCCGGAGTCTGTGAATCTATATTTGGAGAACAACCGAAATTCGGAAAGTAGAGTGAGTGAGTGAGTGAATATGGTTTTACGCCGCTTTTAGCAATATTCCAGCAATATCACGGCGGGGGACACAATAAATGGGCTTCACACATTGTACCCATGTCGGGATTCGAACCCGGGTCTTTGGCGTGACGAGCGAACGCTTTAACCACTAGGCTACCCGACCGCCCCCGGAAAGTAGAAGTGACATAGGAAATCCCTTGGGTTTGTTTTGTGTTTTTGAGGAAGGTGTAGGTAAGTAGTCCCAGGCCATAGGGCAGATTAATTATCACTTGAACATATATCACTTAATAGGAATATATATATATACAGAATATTAACAAGTTCCGGACAGGTGCCATTTTCATGACGAGTGTATTGCAAAACGAAGCCAACGCGCGGCATCGAGTTGGAACATGGTATCTAACAGTGAAGAGTTTAGTTACATATTTATAACTTAAACTTTGTAAATTCTAAGTTGAAAAGAAAACGTCCCTGGTTTTAGGGTGGCGTGTGAATACATATACAACGTTCGTAGCTGACGATTCAATTAAGTGCTCTTCTCTCAAAAGTGAAACCTTGAAATATATAGTGCGAAGCTTTCTCCGGGATCGATTGTAAGAACTCATAAGATGCAGATTGTGCAATAACGTTAATAATAGCACAAATACTAACATCACCAAGTGAGAGACAGTGGCATTTCACGAGAAAATGTAGCCTCATAGTATCAAACTCGGTTATGTGTATGCGAGGAGAGCCGGAGACACGATCGACGCATTATTCAATCACTTTAGTTTATTAGTTAAGAAGTAATTTGAAATGGGGATACCATGCTACTGTTTAACATGAATACCCAACTCAGACACAGCATACTGACTCTGAGCCGACCAGTCCTTATTTGAGCCCCTTTATGCCGAGCGCCAGGCAGGGTAACAAGAAGCACTATCTTTTAACGTATGTTGGTATGACGTGGGCTGGAATTGAACACACTCTTCCACTCTCCGCGGGCGCTGGATCCACTAGACCACGGAAGCAGTCTAATAAGTAATATAATAAGATTAATTAACAATTATTGTTTGACATCACCAGTAATGGCTCACTAAAGTCAGGGGATTGCATCGGTTGACATTTCTAGTTGCTGTCCATTTTCTCTTATTTGCAAAATGAAGTTCAAGGGCGAAAGTATGATGAATGTTGTGATGCCGTAGATCACTTGCGACTGCAAAACCCACCGACAAATTCCAATAATACAGCGAATTTTAGATGAATACATTGTATGCCTTGTTTCGTGAATGTTCAGAGTTTCTTTCTGGAGTAGGTTATTGTCTGGAAGCAGAGTAAACATTGTGTACAGTTGCAATGTGCTGTGACGCCTCCATTCCAAGGATCAGCTGATGGCCACAAACAGTACGGGCATGGTGTTATAACACAATGTGCAATAAAGATATTTGTTTATTAAACAATAATATCTTTAACGGGTAAAATATATAAATATGTATTACATAACATTGAAAAAGTATTTGTAACGATATAAATGGGTTTTTCAGATTAAAAACGATGTTTTATTTGTCTGTTTTCAGTCGTACAAATGGGTATCTCACACCTCTAGTCGCACGTTAAAAGGAAGCCAGAAGCTGGAATGTAAACAATAAACTTGTTTCCGTCCGGTTGCGCACGCACCTCCCTATGACATGTCACAAATCTCGAAGAATAAGCCATCAAGCAGGACTGGACTCGATTACTTCCCAGTGGGGATGGCTGGGTGGGAACGTACGACTGAAAACAGACCAATAAAAAATCGTTTTTAATCTGAAAAACCCATGTTTTAGTCTGTTTTCAGTCGTGCAAATGGGTAGAATTTGACGGAACACTGGAAGGAAGGTCGGGAAAGTAATCAGGAAGTGACCTCTTTCACGTCCAATGTACCAAGTTCCTCACCCCTGTAGTGACAATAGAACATTTGACCAGATGCACGGACGAGACAAATTGTTTATCACGAACGCACAGCATGGTTAATGCTCATCGACACACAACTAATTATCGATGCGACAGGACAACTGCACGCGTCAGTTTAAATGCGATCGAAGTGGTCGACGTATAGTTTAGTTACAGAGCGACTCGCAGTATACAAGGTAACGAAAAATAGCATGGTTAATGCTCCTCGACACTCAACTAATTAACGATGCGACAAGACAACTGCACACGTCAGTTGAATTGCGATCGAAGTGTGGTCGGCGCATAATTTAGTTACAGAGCAACTCGCAGTATACAAGGTAACTAAAAAATACGAGCAGTACTATAAAGTATGGGAACACGATGGATACACCGAATAACCATAACAAAACAGCCGAAGTACTGCATGCAACAAAAAACATAAGAATGTGTACATTCACCAACAGTTTTTATTGTAACCTGTTATCTGGCACGAAGTGTCGAGCAAAAAGTCCAAAGTGAATAAAGCACAAATTCACTGTCTTTTCTGGGAGATCGGTTGTGCCACTACGAGTGGACCAAACTGTGTGCTCATGTTGAAGCTATGGCTCGAACTTCATGCAGATGAGAGGAGGTGGGAGGTGCGAGTCCTTGCGCCTCGTAAGCTCTGAGAATGACCGCTCTCAACCAAAAGGAGAGAGTATTACGTGTAATCTCTTTCTTTGCATTGGTTGAGAGCAGCATGAACAGCCGTCGAAAATGTTGTCGTCACTGTTCAGATCGCTGCAGGTAAATACAAAGCGCACGAACTGGGCTTTTCTGAGACAATGTCGAACATGACCTGATCGAGAGGCTCGTAAGTCGAACTAGACAGGTAGCGCAGAGCGATATCGAGGCCCCAGGCCGGCAGTCGGAATTAATGTGAGTCATCTTCAACCATGAAGGCACGTAGCATTTTCTGCAATTCCGGTATTTTAGTGAGCCTGTCGCCCAAAGGAGACGGCTCATCTAGGTAGAAGGCGACCCTGATCGCCTGCCAATGGAGCCATTCTACGACCGTCTTCATGATCCGTGTGATGAAGTCTTCCCCCTACCGGTAGCTCGTCTAAAGGTAGTAGACTCCGACGACGGTGATAGCGGGGTAAGGGACCTCACTACCTCCCCCGCTGGCTCGCTGTCGACAGCATAGCAAGCGGTTGTAGCTGGTGATGAACAGCAGTGTCCATGGATCCCCAATGTCTTTCTACTACAATAATCTTGGAGGGCGGTGGTTTTTTTAAGAGTAGCCCCCAATCCAAGTCCCTACTCATGGGTGACGAAAACAGCATGCCATAGATCGGGTAACGCAATCGAAAAGGTGGTTTGCTGAAACTCTGCCCCGGCAGAGCAGAGGCAAGTTCTGGTCCATATCGTGAGCCATGGCTCTGAAGACAACGGGAGGAGAAGACTGGAGAGTCTGCGGCGTATCTCCAACCTTAAAGCCAGCACACGTCGGTGTGTCATCATCTTTTGATAACTCAGGGCAGTCCAGGCTGTCGTCACAATCCATCGTCGACGTCGATTGTGTAGATGTAGATGAAGGTACTGGTGTACTGGTCGATGGTCCATGGACCTCCGACGTAGTCGAATCCTTCTTGGTCGACGCCGTCGAGGCAAGTACCGCCGTCGTGTTGATATGAAAGTTAGACGAGCGTGTCGATCGGTCATTATCTCTACGACGCTGTCATCACAATCCATCGTCGACATCGTTTGTGTAGGTGTAGATGAAGGAACCGGTGTACAGGACTATTGTCCATGGACCTCCGACGTAGTCGAACCCTTCTCGGTCGACGCCGTCAAGGCGAGTACCTCCGCCGTGATCTGGCCTATCAAAGCCGGGTCGATATGAAAGTGAGACGAGGGTGACGATCGATCATTATCTCTATAACGCTGATTTCCCAAAAACTTCCTTCGAGAGCGTCGCACGTCCCCGTGGGGACGAGGGCTACGATCCCTAACTGTAGAAGTACTACGATCCCCATCGTAGTTATCGTCCGAATCGAACTCCCGACGACCTCGAAAGCGACGAACGTCCTCGTGTCGTTTACTGTCTCTCGACGAGGCACTCGACCTGTCGTCCCGGGGCGGGAACGACTTGTAGAGTGGGATCTGTGTTCACTGTCGACCTGCACGACGTCCCTATCGTCGTTTGTAGGACGAGAGACGGACCGACTGGGGAACGTAGGCCCCTCATGGTCCTCGTCACAAGCCGGTCCTGTTGTAACGGGGGTGGCTGAGTGACGCTCTCGATGAACCGATTGACGAAGATCAGTTGTGCGGGTAGTATCATCAGCAGGCGAACGGTCACGTGTCTTGTCGAAAACATAAGTTGACTGGGGCGGGTCGTTATCAACTGATTTCTTGGGTGTGGCCGACGCACCACCCCCAGGGCCAGATGTAGAGGCTGCAGAGTCCAGGGATCCACCCGATGACCTACTTTGCTTGTAGCGCTGGTCAGTAGCCCGCTTCGCCAACGCACAAAGATACCAATTAAAGTTTATTAAAGTGATCACATACTTTACAACGTTTATCCCACGAACACGTTGAAAATCCGTCCTTAATTATGCAGGAAGGACAATACTTGTGAGGATCTACTTTTGACAGTATACTTTGACACGAGGCAGAAAAGCCCGACATGTTGCCCCGTGTATAATGAAGTCAAACAGTGAAACACGTGTTGAACACAAACAATGGATTACCAAGGATTACATTCCAGGAGTCTACAGGGAAGACATATTATTATTACTGTATTAGAACAACAACTGTAGACACACGATCAGTACTAGTAGAATACAAACTAGCAGTCTATCGCGAAAGTCCTTCTCGAGCGACCAGCTCAGAGGCGCGCTGAGAGATTTGTGACATGTCATAGGGAGGTGCGTGCGCAACCGGACGGAAACAAGTTTATTGTTTACATTCAAGCTTCCGGCTTCCTTTTAACGTGGGACTAGAGGTATGAGATACCCATTTGACTAAAACATATGTTTATAATAGCCTAACCTAAGGTAAGAAACATTCAAGGGAAACATCTAGGTTGTGTTGGTGAGGGGAGCCCATGAGTTGGCTATAAGATTTCACAAAAGTGAGATGTTATATTATATATGAGCATATATTTAGTTATTGGGGAGCCCTGCCATAGAACATGGCTAGTGAAACAATTCATCATATTCAACTAGGTATTTCAACAATTCATAAAGTGTTCAGAGGATGGTGTTTTGTGAGGATCCTTGTCTGTTTCTGGAAATTCGTAATGCGTCTACCGGCATTAGATTATCAGCGAACATCCATATATTATGTTTAACTAGCTAAATGCAACTGACACTCCCTTTCAGTTTCGTCGAAAAAAGTAGTTGCTTATGTTGCTCTTTGTGTTTCATTATTCTATGTTTGACAGCTGTTCAGTTTGGCAAACCGTGATTGAGCTTTAAGTGAATCCGTAATGTGAAGGCTGTACTCACACTGTGGCTCCATGTTGTAGCCCTGGCTCCACTCTGACTCCAGACCCTGACTCTCTCTCGCTCTACATCTGTAGCTGTGACTGTCCCGTGAACTCACTGTGAAGATGTAGGGGGAACCGGGGGAGGTAACTGTGATGTCAGTGTTGTTACGCTGCCAGGTGTAGGTCAAGGTCAGGCCATGGTCAGCTGGGACAGTGGTAGAGGTGGAGCTGCAGGTCAAGGTCACTTGCTGGTTGTAGACAGGAGTTGTTGACACAGGACGGCCAGGTGTTGTCGGCACACCTTTTTAAAGAGTTAATACATAATTGTTCAAGCATATATATATATATAGTTCTAGAGTGAGTGAATGAACTAGAGGGTGACTGTGTGTGTGAGTGTGAATTTGGTTAATGTCATTTCAGCAATACTCCACTTATTACACGATGGGGTTGATACAAATGGGTTTCTCATATTGTACCCAGTTGGATCCGGGTCTGCCACGAGCCATGCTATTTTGTTGACATAAACACAAGCTTTAGGCCATAGAACCATCTTCATAATCTCAAAATGTTATCAATCTTATGATCTCTTATCATGCACTCTTGAAAGATAGGCATTCGTAAAAAGGTTATGTTTTGTACACTTAGAAACATGTAAAAAATCTATAAGTGCAATTAATCGCACACACAGAGGCTACTTCCGTGTACCAACCCTATGACATACTCATTTGGTCAAATATTTTGAACAAAAAATACATTTTTTTAAACCCGAATTGCCAAAAATAAAAATGTATCCCTCTTAATCAAAAAAGTTCTTACCACGCCTGTAGAAAAATACAAGTTATAAATGGCACAGTCATCTATAGCGATGCAATTCGCGTCACTTGGTGCAACTGAAAACACGTGTGCTCTTTAGTTCCAGAAGGATATACAATCATACAAATTATCTGATTTTATTTAAAACGTGTACTGCATTTGCATTGAAGGTTGAAAATGTATATTTTAGCAAACAAAAATCAATGTCAACAACGTCAGCGTGTGTTTGATTAGGAGCAATGTTTTATCAAAAGACGGCATAGAGATCTAATGCTCAATTCTATTTTGTATCAATAGATTATACAACGCCCCTAAATTACTAAATACAAGAGGGCATGGAAGGCCCAGTCGTCAAAGGTGGGGCAACGCTCAGTCAGAGTTGCGTCATTTAGGCGTGGCGTGACAAAATAACCGTGGGTTGGAATCAAAGATTCACACTGATAACTATTTTTTGCTTGTCTCACTCATATGTCCTCGTGAATTAAACAAAATTTGTAAAGATTTAGGGAACATTCCCCGACTATAATACTGATAACTCACTAATATTAGTTTCCTCCATCATTGGGCAAGCTTGTGTTCGAGATCGATTGTCTTTTTCCTTTGAAGATGTGTAAACATTTTACTGGTGAAAGATGCGCCTTAAACCAATTTAAGTTTTACTGCAACGTTTGTCTTCAATTCAAACACTACAAAGCCGTAAATGTCCTTTTGGCAGCAATACCTTGTTGCCTTGCAGGCGGCATTAACCTACATTACAATCGTTTGTTACCTGATCTGATATAATTAGAGAGAAAGAACGCAGGTATTATTGGGTATATTAACAAAGTCGTTACTTGCAGAGGTGCATTCAATAAGCCGTTTGGCGCCGAGGCGCCAGCGAGTGCTTGCGAGCACCTCCGAATAATTCCTAATGAACGGAACGCACGCTGAGAGCGCTTTCTAGCGCCTCCGCGCATACTGAGGAGGAGGCACGCCGAGGGACAAAGATGGCGGACTTGGACAAATGCGGGGCCTGTGAACATAACATTTTCGACATGGAACAACTTGTTAGACATACACGGACTCAGTGGTGAAGTTTGATACCACCACATAAGTAAATACATTTATTGGAAGACTTTTCACTTGTTAAAACCAGGCCATTCCAATTGTTTTAGCTGCATTTTGAAACCCCTCGCAGCACGGAGTATTTTCCCTTGCAACCCATGTTAATTTCAGTACAGAAAAATTCCTTTTCATGCGTCTGTTTGTGAACAAGATACATGTATAATAAAATTTGGTATGAAGTTGCAGTTATGTCCCAATAACACTCATATGATTTCTTTTTGTAAACATTTGACATGTATTATGATGCGATATAAACCTTCATTGTCGAAACTGGAAACGTAAATTGAGATATTTTCATAGGTGTCTGTCTTCTCTTACATAAGTCGAAAACATTGCGAATTGTTGTTTTTTACTTCAGTTACAATATTCCAGCAATATAGTTTCCAACCTCGTTGGACCAATGATAAAGACAAAGTTCAGTTGTCTTTATTTGTAGAAGCTTTATTACGCCTGACGATACACCGGGACTCACAACACATGCGGGTCGCCATCTTTTCCCGACCATCCTACTTCCGGCCTGACATTCGCAAACCTTCGTATTTCCAACAATCGGAATAACTCGGAAATGAACATACTAACATCTCCCCTCCTTCGGAAGAAACAAAAAAAAAGAAGAAAAAAAAAGAAAGAAAGAGAATATGTCTCCTTTAACTCAAATGATATTAAACGATTGTAACCGTTAAAAGTTCTCAACATCTGCAATGATCAGTTAAATGTATCTGCTTAGTTCACACAGGCACTGTCTGTATATGCAACCGCATCTTATAGTCTTGCCTCAAAGTTCATGACCGTAATTCATGCATGTCCATGTTGACAATAATTACATCAAATCACTCAAGCATTATATAGTCATTGTATCTTAAAGGCAATCTTTTTTCCCTGAGTGGACGTTTTACTGAGCAGGTCTCTTCAGATATCTTGGTAATATCTGTAACACTTTCTGTAGGTTGAAAACCTGGCTGTGTAGTCTTTGATTGTTCTACATTCTGTGTAATGTTAGGGCTGGCTTGGGCTGTTACACTTCGATCTGTCACAGGTTTCATGGGTGAACTTGGTACAGCTGTTTGGAATTCGGCATTCTTCAAGATCAGTTGATTATGCTCCCTCTGTGATGAGATGTAGTTGTTCAATGGTGGTGGCGCAGCTGCTGGCTTGATTTGCACACGGTTTCTTCTCAGTGTGCTACCCTGGGTTTTTATTGTGTAAGACCTTGTATTGTCCTTGTGGATGACTTGCCCATATGCCCAAGGTTTTCCTCTCTGGTTTGGTGGAGGTTTAGCATACACATAACTGCCAGTTTCTATTGGTTCATGCTCTGTACCAGACGATCTATCGTACTGAGCCTTGCTAGAGATTCTTTTGCCCCTGATCTCTCTATAAACTATTTCAGGATCCACTACCTGGGGCTGCAGAAGTTGATTTGTTGTCGGCAGCAAAGTCCTTGTGCGACGATTCATCATGCGTTGTGCAGGTGAATAGGTATGTCCCTTTTGAGGAGTATTTCTGTAGTTCAAGAATGCAAGTTCTTTGTCATCAGATTTCTTCATCATAGCTTTTGCCACTTTGACAGCTGACTCAGCCTTTCCGTTTCCTTGTGGATGATATGGTGAAGACGTTGTGTGCTTGAAGTGATACTGCTGAGCAAAGTCTTCATATTCTTTGCTGATGAACTGAGGTCCATTGTCTGTATGACACACACTCGGAATCCCATAGCGAGAAAAATGAGCCTTTGTTTTGGCTATCACTGTAGCGGAGAGAGTGTCTTCCAATTCGTCAACCTCAATCCAGTCAGAGAAGTGACAAACTGTGACAAGGTAAGTCTTTTTCTCAAAGGCAAATAAATCTTGACTTATAATTTGCCAGGACATGGTGGGTATTGGTAAAGACTTCATGGGTTCTTTGGGTGCTTCATTTCCATACTGTGCACATGTTCCACACGCACTGCACATATCATGAATAGAGTTCCTCATCCCAGGCCAAAAGAGGACCTCTCGAGCCATTCGTATGTTTGATTCAGCTCCAAAGTGATTCAAGTGTATCTTTTCCAGCATCTCTCTGTACATGCTCTGTGGGATCATCACAAGTGAACCTTTGTATATGATCCCATTGCTGATGCTAAGTTCATCTCTATAGCCCCAGTAGGAGGCCAAAGCTGGATCCAGTAGGTTTCTGTCATCTGGCCATCCATGACCTATCAGTGTGTACAACTGAGACATCAATGGATCTTTCGCAGTTTCCTCTCGGAGTCTGGCCTCAGTTTCTTCATGGAGATGTGGATTGTGCTCATCATATTCATGTTCTAGTTCCAGACGGAATACTTCATACCCTGTCACCTTGGCATTGATTGGAGTTGGTAGTGCTGCTCGTGACAGTGTGTCTGCAAGATGAAGTGATGTCCCTTTTCTGTACTTGACAGTGAAGTGATAGCGTTGTAGTTTTAACAACATTCTTTGTAGCCTTGCAGGGGCCTTGTTCAGTGGCTTCTTCATGATTGTTTCCAGTGGCTGATGATCAGTATGTACTTCAATGTCTGCCTTTCCGTACAGCCACTGGTCAAACTTGGCAAATGCATTGCATATCGCAAGACACTCCTTCTCAATTTGGGAATATCTCTGTTCTGTCGCATTCATGCTGCAGGATGTGAATGCCGCTGGATGAAGTTTTCCATTAGCATCAGGCTGAAGTAAGGCACCCCCAAGACCTTCCTCACTAGCATCCACTTGCAATACCACATTCTTTTGCAGGTCATAATAACTTAGCACAGGTGCTGTTGATATAAGTTGTTTGGCCTGATTGAATGCAGTTTCTTGTGTTGACGCCCAAGAGAATGGTACACCTCCCTGTGTGAGCATTGTGAGAGGGCGAATTGTTGCACTCAGATTTTCACAGAAGGGTGATAAGTAGTTGACCATCCCTATGAATCTCAGGAGCCCAGCCTTGTTGCGTGGGGGAGGCATTTCTGTGATCGCAGCAACCTTGTCTGGGTCCACTTTCATTCCTTTGTCAGTAATTATGTTGCCGACAAATTTCAGTTCCTTCATTTTGAAATTCAGTTTAGAAGGTTGGCACTTGATATTTTTCGTCAAGCATCTTTCCATTAACGCTATAAAGCGTCGATCATGATCCTGTTCCGCCTCCTCATATGTGTTTCCTTCACCGTATATGAGTATGTCATCAGTCATTGATATGGTTCCATCTAGACCTTCTAGTGCAGCAGATAGTCTTATTTGGAACTCCTCAGGTGCACTTGTAATTCCAAATGGCAGGCGTAGCCATCTATACCTGCCATAAGAAGTGTGCATTGTAGTCATGAAAGATGATTCTTCATCCAAAGGAATATGAAGAAAACCATCACGGACATCTACCAGTGAAAAACACTTGGCG